TTTGCTCTTTTCAGTTAAGTATAGGAATGAATGTTGAAGGATTCAATGTGATGAAATTATTCTCACCACCAGTGATTAGCTGACCATTTGTGATAACTGAAGCTATTCTGATAACATGTGATTGCTAAATACTAACCATTTATGAGAATTGCTTGATGTGGTTGACATTTCTGTTTTACTTTTGGTCTCTGCTGGACAGTTGCTTTACTTTTAGTCCACTGTTTAATCTCAAGTCTGGTTCTTATGGCCATTAATGAACTTTAGTCCACTTTGTAAAGTTGATCGTTATGAGTGTTACGACCAATTTGACTGGGAGATTATCCAACACACACACAAAATACCATTTAATTATTGCATTATTGTATGTGTGTACTCTTGTATGTTATGTCATTTAATATTTGTTATTCTCTTGGCTTGCCACTACAGACCTTCTTGTGTTGGTTATGCATAAGTGAGATTGTTCAATCATCTTGTATATTCTACTTTAACACTATTTTCCATAGCCAATTGTATCTAGTTTTTTTGGTCCATATTCAAATCTTCATTCCTACTCCATTGTGATGTAGGAGTGTGGAACTCTCTCTCTCTCTCTCTCTCTCTCTCTCTCTCTCTCTCTCTCCCTCCCTCCCTCTCTCTCTGTTTCTCTCTCTCAGACACACACTTATCATTGTCTCTGACTCTTTCATGATATATAGTTGGAAGTCTCTTTACTACACACTACCTTTTGTTTTGGATTTTCACTTCATGTCTTTCTGGTCTAGCAGCTTTACTACACATTTTTTTTTCATTGAAATGGCTGGTGACTTTTAGGGACGCGAATAATTTTTCAATTATTAATACCAATGATGTACACATCTGCTGTGAACTGATTCTTTTGAATCTTTGACATAAAACCAAATCTCTTTTCCTCGAATAACAATATACACACNTTTTTTTGCAGTGAGGTTGAGACCGTCAAGAAGCCGTTCAGTCCCCCTCGTGAGGTTCACGTTCAAATCACTCATTCCATGCCGCCTCAAAAGATAGAGATCTTCAAATCCATGGAGGAATGGGCCGAAAACAATATACTAACCCACCTCAAACCCGTCGAGAAAAGCTGGCAGCCTCAGGATTTTCTGCCGGACCCTTCTTCTGATGGATTTCATGATCAGGTCAGGGAACTGAAGGAAAGGGCCAAAGGAGATTCTTAATTAAACTGCATATGAGATCTATCTGATCATATATGCATCATTTTTTATGAAGATTCCACTTAGAGTAGAAAGACATTTTTGCCTTGTTAATTCAAAGTTTCCTTTTGTTGGCCAATTTTCACAATCAGGTCAGGGAACTGAGGGAAAGGGCTAAGGAGATTCTTAATTTAACTACATACGAGATCTATCTGATCATATATGCATTATTTTAATGATGATTCCACTTAGAATAGAAAGGCATCATTATTTTGCCTTGTTAATTCAAAATTTTCTTTTGTTGGCCAATTTTCACGATCAGGGCAGGGAACTGAGGAAAGGGCCAAAGGAGATTCTTAATATAACTACATATGAGATCTATCTGATCATATATGCATTATTTTGATGAAGATTCCACTTAGAATAGAAAGGCATCATTTTGCCTAGTTAATTCAAAATTTTCTTTTGCTGGCCAATTTTCACGATCAGGTCAGAGAACTGAGGGAAAGGGCCAAGGAGATTCCCGATGATTATTTTGTTGTTTTAGTTGGTGATATGATCACTGAGGAAGCCCTCCCGACTTACCAGACGATGCTTAATACTTTGGATGGCGTTCGAGATGAAACGGGAGCTAGCCCAACTCCTTGGGCAATTTGGACGAGGGCTTGGACTGCTGAGGAAAATCGGCATGGAGACCTTCTGAATAAGTATCTCTACCTTTGTGGACGGGTGGACATGAGGCAAATCGAGAAGACTATTCAGTATCTCATCGGTTCAGGAATGGTGAGTGCATTTTTACGGGATATTTTATAGGCACTAATTATAATATAGAAGTGTTTTCATGTTTACTGCATTTGATCTTACCATCAAAATGTTAAGTGTGTGGTTGGATATGATTTAGGGTGTGTTTGTATATCGAAAGACTAAATCCATTCTCAATTCAATCTCAAAATCTAACTCAATTCCACTATCCTCAATATTATCAATATAATTAAATAATACCATCAATCATTCTTACAAACACATCATTTTAATTTTAATGAACAATCACTTCACATCATCTATCTCCTATTTTTACATCAGATCAATTTTAATTATTTTATTTTAAATACTATTTTAATATAAACTCAGAATTCTACTACCGACTAATCGTACCACTTTTTTCAAAATTAACCATACCAAATAAAAAAATCCAAACAAAATCAAATATTTTATCCCAAGCATCCCCTAAGGGTGTGGTTGGATATGATTTATCTTGCAAGTTCTTGAATTTTTCATACTTTATTTAGAGAGGATATGAAAAACTTTGGGAGTATAATGCTTGAATATTAACATGATTGAATATTATTGATAGTTAGAGTTCTGTGGATGAGTGAATTCTAGTGAAACTTATGGGGAAAATGTGTAGTGATGATTACTGACTAGTAGATGAGTTTTTCCTGAGAAAATGAGTTCAAGACTTGAAGTGCTTGTTGGGAGAAAATAGGCAGGTAAAAGTAAAGTAGTTTTTTAAAATTTTCAACAAAACACTCAATCAATCAAACTAGTTAAAAATAAAATCCCCCAAAATATTCAAATGATTTTCTCTTTCACCCCAAGTTTTGACCGTTCGACTATTCTTCTTCGTTTAACTTCCCAGGACCCGAGGACAGAGAACAGCCCTTACTTGGGCTTCATCTACACGTCTTTCCAGGAACGGGCCACCTTCATCTCCCATGGCAACACGGCCCGTTTAGCCCGGGCCCACGGAGACCTCAAGCTGGCCCAAATCTGTGGGACCATAGCCTCGGACGAAAAGCGGCACGAAACTGCCTACACCAAAATTGTCGACAAGCTTTTCGAAGTGGATCCAGATGGGACTGTGCTAGCATTTGCTGACATGATGCGAAAAAAGATTTCAATGCCGGCCCACCTTATGTACGACGGGCTTGACGACAGCCTGTTCGAGCACTTCTCTGCTGTGGCCCAGCGACTCGGAGTGTACACTGCTAGGGACTATGCTGATATCCTTGAGCACTTGGTGGGCCGGTGGAAAGTGGCGGGCCTGATGGGCCTGTCTGGGGAAGGGAGAAAGGCCCAGGAGTATGTGTGTGGGCTGCCGCAGAGGATTAGGAGACTGGAGGAGAGGGCTGCGGGCCGGGCCAAGCAAGGCCCGAGGATTCCATTCAGCNACTTCTAGAGTGCAAGAATTTTCGGGCTGTGCTGTGGATTTTGTTGTACTTAGAGCAACATGAATAGAAGGGGACTGTGTTTGAGTGTGTGGATTTGTGGTGTAATTGATGTTTTTTTCTTAGATGGTTCTCTTGTGTTTATTTTCATACCTTCACCACAATTATCTATTTATTTTTTATGTATTGATATTCATTTGAATCCAGAAATAAACAAAAAAATGAAGTAATGTTTTGTTATACATGAAGTTATTTAGGCTTGGAACCAAATAAGTTAGTTTATAAGTTTCTTGTATTTAAATAAGCTTCATTTAGTAAGATGAACTTATCATATCTTTGAGTAGCCTTTCAAATACGATCGTTGAAATTTTTATTTCAATTAGCTTATGAGCTAATTTTACTAAATACTTTTATCATATAAACTAACTTGTTTTAGCTATAAGTCATAAATTATAAATTCACTTAAAAATTAATTTATAAACTAGCTTATTGGCTAAGCTTATCAAACATAGTCTTAAAAAACTATACATTTTATATGAAGCAGAGAGTGTGAACCGTTATAAGAAGACAACACAACACAACCAGGGGCGGACGCAGACAATTAAAAGTAGGGGGGCACACATTATAATTCATAGAAGAACCAAAAAAAATAACAATATTACATTACAATTGTTCTCTACGTGTTCTCATACTCTGATAGCGTTCAATAATTTCATCATTTTCAATCTTATCAAATACATCTTTCTCATATATGCAATCAAACTATCACTCAACCATTGATCCCCAATTCGGTGGCGCAAATGATTTTTCACACAAGCCCTAAATTAAAAATTACATCAATTTTAAAAATTCTCAAATACAAATTTAGGGTTATAAAAACTAGAAAATAATTAAATAAAGCATACTGTTTGAAATAAAAATTGATAGCTAACTGAGGAAGAAGAAGTTCAAACCACTTTGATTACTGAAAGATTTTTTTCATGTTAATTGCACCGAAATTTTGAAGCTCTGCGAGGTGAGTGGGAGAGAAAATAAAAGAAGAGAAAATGAGGAATGTGTAGGAGCGGGATTTTGCTGGGAGTGGGAAAAAAAAAATTAACTTTGTAAAGTTGTATTGAAGACCCACAATTTAATATAATTAAAAAATATGTACACATCTTACATATCTTTCTTTTTTATCTTATTTTCTTATCTTATCTTATCTTATCTTATTTAATATAAAAGAGTTTGGACATTGTTTCATAAATTATTTTTTTATTCAATACTATCACCTGGTGAAGCCACGTCTCCTCATCTCTTTCCCACAATTTTATATTCGCTCTGTGGTTTAATAATGAAAAGAAACAACATTTGACTTGCAACCTAACACACCATTTTTCTCATTTCTTCTAAAAACTCCGCCGCCGTCACATCTTACATATATATACATATTAGGAGTTCTCAGGGCACAGGGGCACGTGCCCCTGCGGGGCCCACTGTGGGTCCTCCCCTGAACACAACACAAAAGTAATGAAAAGTGTGTATGAATCCACCACAACAATCAAACCAAAGCCACTCCTATTGTTGTCTTAATTATCACACATCAACAAATTCATATATCCAATCAACATATCCTATTACAAGTTACAACCATCCTCAGAAACCTCAGTTCAAACAGAAAGAAAGAAAAATAAACAAAAGAAAAAAAAAGCTCAGTAGCCTTTGCAGAACCATCGACGAATCACACGACTCTGTTAAACGGCTTCCTCCCAACCAAAGCCGGCATAGAAGTAGCCGAACCCACACTAAACTCCCCAACTGAACGAGTCGAGTCGTGCTGAGTGGGCCCCACTTTCCCCCACCGGCCCGAATTCGGAGTCAGGGGGAAAGAGAACCTCCGGCCCGACCCGCTTTCGGGCCGCGTGCCCGCGAACCTTCTCGCCTTGGCCATTGCCGAGACAGTCGGGCTCATGTAGCTCGGCACGGAAAACGGTGGGCAGCTCACGAAGCTGCCGTCATCATCATTGTCCTTCATCGGGAAACGAGACCTCGAAGACCGTGGGGTCGAGGATTCCCCGTTGTTGTTGTGGGCCCGGTGGCTCGGCCCGCGTTCGGAAGTGGGCCCACTTGGAGGAGGAGGAGTGGTGGTTAGGGGGGCGTCTTTCGAGTCGGTGAGCTGGCGGTCTAGCCAGTTCCACCACCAAGGGAACCCGTTGGTTCGGGGGTCGAGAGGGCCGTGGGACGATGATGGGTTGTCTTTCCACGACTGTTTTTTTCGTCGAGCACAGTTAGAATAACGGGTTGTTAGATTGTATCGTATTTAGGCTATGTTTGGTAAACATAAGCTAGCTTGTAAGTTTTAAGTGAATTTCGAGTTTATAGCTGATAGTTTATGATTGAAAAACTAGCTTATATGATAAAAGTATTTAGTAAAATTAGTTGATAAGATAACTGAAATAAAAATTTCAATGAGCTTATTTGAAAAGCTACCCAAGGAAGATTATGAGATAAGCTCGAGCTTTTTTTTAAGAAAAAAACCCGTCCTACCAAACCAAGCTTATCTGAATACAAAAAGCTTATAAGATAATCAAATAAGCTATAAGCTAGCTCATATGCCTACCAAACACAACCTAAGTGATTTTCAAGCTTATAGCTTATGACTTGTAGCTGGAAAGCTAGCTTATATGATAAAAACGTTTGGTAAAATTAGATGATAAGCTAGCTAAAATAAAAATTTCAATTGACTTATTTGAAAAACTACCCAAATAAGCTTATGAAATCAGCTCGAGTTTTTTTAAAAAGCTCGTCCTGCCAAACGAAACTTATTTGAATACATGAAACTTATAAGCTGACCAAATAAATTATAAGCTAAGCTTATTTGATTACCAAACAGTCTGTATTGTATTTAATAACATTAGAAATGGAACTTGTCAAACAAATATCAGTCTAGTGCTATCACTATACACTGCAGGCTAGGCTAGTCTATATTCCAAGTTTCAGCTTTTGAAACTTTTGAATCAGTTTCAAGACAATTGGTGAGTATTAGTTTTGATTTCTAATGATCTTGAAATTAATACGGTAATGCAACGGATGAAGGGTAAGTGTGATTTTTCGAGGTCTTTGGTTTGTTTTTCGCAGGGCAGGATTCCAAAATCGAAAATTGTGAAGAGATCATCGTCGAGTCAAAGTTAAGATAGATCGAATACCTCAAATCAATATAAATCAAATTGAAAATGACTTGTTAGCTAAACTTGATCAACCAATATCTTAATCAAATTTACCTGGTGAGAGTATGCATAGGCCATGGCTCTCTCTCGTTTTATAACAGCCTCAGCTTTCTTCCGTTGTCTTGCTTCAACTTCCTCTTTTGTTAACAAGCTATCATCCCAATCCTCATTCTCAGACTATAAACAAAAGCAAACCAAGAAAAGTATCCACTATTAGAAACAATGCTATATATATCTAGAGGCATATGCTTTCCATACATATAGAGCTCATAAATTAACTTGAAATATCTGCCCCTCAAAAAAACCATATACATTTTTTTTTTTTTTCTAATATATTCAAAAAAGAAAGAATATGTGAATTTAAAGATATTTTCAAACAAATGATGCACACCAGTTGGTTGGTCCATTTGCTGAGGGTACTCTCGAGATCTTTATTACGGTTCCTATAATCTTGCCGTTGATTTTCCAACATTCGTATCTTTCGTGACTGAATTTGTGTATGAACCCTCACGAACAGCTGTAATTGTTTCATGGCATTTGCCGTTTGCCGCTTCACATTCTGGCCCTTAAGCACTTCTTGAAGTCTCACCAAACCGTTTGCAGCTCTGAAGCTTCTTCTCGCCTACCAAGCATTAAATTATTCCAAAAGGAAAAAATTACATATAAAACAAGTAAACAACACTCATGTCAAATTTCTAACTTTAAATAAACACAACCATTTTTTTTTCAGCCATAAAATTGCTGCTGACGAGACTTGGTTGACACGGACCGTTAATAAATTACTTTTTTTCACAATTTTATCAGAAATTTGATATAACAATATGATATGAGAAAGATCGTAAAAAGGATTTCTGAATGACACGTACGAACAAAACACTCGGCATTTTGCAGTAAGCTAGAACAACTAACAGTAAAATTTCACATAGAACTAGCACTAACAGCAAAATTACCATGTAACCCCTGAACACAGCCTGGATCTTAGTAGCTGAGAGGTTTTGGTCTGCCAAAGTGGGCTCCGGCCTCGGCAAATTCGTAATTTCCTTTTTATTTTCTGTTGTCACCTTAGGAATAAATGCCTCTGAAGAAGAAGAAGAAGATGAGACCCCACTTGTTAAAGCCTTCAAAGGAGGAGAGAAAGTGGCTTTCGGTGAAGGAACTCTAGGCGAGACTGGTCTTGCCGGTAAAATTGGTGGACTCGAAGATGAACGTGTAATGGCATTATTAGTAACATTTGTATTAGTACTATCATCATAAGTAGTAACAATATTTGTAATATTAGGCCTAATAAGCAGTTGATCGGCTTCCCCTAAAATTTTCTCGATGCTGCTCGGCTCACTGAACAGGGGAATCAATGATTTGCTTTTTTCGGGCCTTCGAATTCCTTTGTCCTTCTTCTTCTTCTTATCCGATCCCTGATGAGCAATTTGTATTATCTCAATTCATTGAATTTTCACAAAACTTTTCACAAAATTTCAAAGGTTCCATTTTTACTTGCATTCATGTTCTTCTCCAATTCTTGTTTTCACCAAAAATCATCAACTCACTCTTTACTTTTTTACACATTTCCAAATGATTTAACTATTCATCCAACTCACCATCACTAACTACTAATCAAATCAATATAATTGTTTTACTAGTTTTATATCAAGTCAATTTAAATTAACACAATTTTAACTCGCTTACACCCTTCTTCCTTCGTCAAACAAATATTTCTTTTTTTATTTTTTTACCATTCACTGACTAAAAGAGCATTTTCAAACCGAAATTATGCATTTATGCTATTCGCATACTCACCTCCTCAAAGAATAATGAAAAATAATAAAAAATTCACAGAGTTACTTACAACAGTTGGTTTGTCTTTCGAGCTGTGTGTGAAGACCCTTTTGATGGCTGAAAGCCAACTCCCCTTCTTCCCCATCTTCTAACTTCTAAGCATTACTATGTAATTACCCTCCTTGAAAGCAGCCAACACGAAGACTCGATGTCCACTCTATATATAGCTTAATAACTTCTACCAAACTTCTGCAATTAAAAAAAAAAAAAAAGAAAAATCTGAATAAGAAGTTTCATGAGCAATACTAATGGCATTAATTAAGATAACGACTCAAGCAAGTTTTAATTATTGTTAGGCACAAACGAATACGAGCACTGAATAGCGGATACGAAAAAAAATCCTCATCGGCCGGTATTTCAGTTTGAGCTGTTGAAAAATGAAAACTTTTATCAGTTTCAAGAAAGGCTGCCTGCAACTTTCCATGTTTAATTCCAACAAAAGCAAGAGCGTGCCATCTAATTGTAATTGTATTAGCATAATAGAAACAACGATATAGTCAGATTAATCTACCTAAATGGGTCTAAACATAATCTGATCCTTCAATTTCACTAAACTTAGCAAGAATTAGGCTTTTATCAATTTATCAAATTGGGTACACAAAATTCAGCTGCTGGAGGGTTTTATGGAAAATTTTCAAATGGGCAAAAAGGACCACACAAATAAACAAACAATGATACTTCAACTGAAGGGCTACCAAGAAGAATAAACAAAACCCAGATAATAATTTCTTCACAAGATTTGTTCATCACATGGGACAGAACAAAAAAATAAAAAGAACATTTTTCATGCAATAAAAATTGCAATTTACAGATAAATTCATCACCTTTAGCTGTTGCGCTTAAGCTGCAGAAGCTTTTCAAGAAAAGCTGCAACAACTAAAAAAGAAAAACTTTTTTTTTTTCTCTAAATACCCAGCACAGATAAAGGGCTAATTCTTTGAAGTCTCCCTAGAAGATGCTTCTCGCCTCCATTTTTCTCTCTCTCAAATTGACACACTCCAAACTGCGTGTGTGTGTGTGTGTTTTGAACTTGTGACAGGGTGTTNTGTGAAAAAGTTTGCAACTTTATTTCCTTGTGTGTCTCCTTGCCCACCTTTTAAGCTCTTTTTCTTTTGATTGCTAATGGTACTTTGCTTTCATCATGATGATGATGAAAAATATCATAAATTTAGTTTGCTGTAGTTGAAATTATTATTTCTTAAAAATAATTATATAATATAAAGTCATGTTATTTCTTCATGTTTTCTAGTCATAAGTATAAATTACAGGTCAACATTTTCTCATACGACTTATTTGAGAAAAAAAATTGAACAAATATAGTACAAAATAATTGCATCCAATAATTTTTTGATAGATTAAGATAGTTTGCCTATAACAGTTGATAATTATAAACAATTTGTGTTTAAGATTTATCAGGGCGTTTCTAATTAACGAATCGTGTTGAACAATGGGCATTTTAATTGGCTGGATAGACTCGTCATACTTTTTTTAAAAAAATATATATTTACGTTATGAAATATAATATCTCTGTTTAGTAAATAAAGTATGACATTTTAATTTAAAATTATTCATATTTATTGAAAAAGAATGATGACTTAATTTTTAAACTTGTCTAGCGGCGGTCTTATTAATCGTGCGTACCTTGTTTGCGTATGTCTGTTATCTTTTCATGTTGCCTATTTTATTTTATCATAAGTATAATATTAAATCCAAATTTTATTAGTGATGTGTTGTAACTTGTATCATGTTTATTCTAATATTTTTCTTTATAATCTGCTCTCTGATTTTATTATATCGTGCTTGTTTCGTATCAGTTATTGTCAGTATTAACTGAATTGGATAATGTTTAAAACTTAAAAAAAATAAAAAAAAATCCCACCATATAATAAGGTGGTTGGTCACCTATGTAGTAGAATAGTAGCTATTTGCCCATCTTCTAATTCAACCAACTTTTACTTAAATAGGAAGACTATTATCAGACAGCAATTTTTTAACCTATTTCTTCCCACCCGCTTATTATTGCTTACCAAATGTACGGCCCTTTTTTAATTATACATTTGATTTGATGTTTGTGACCATGATTTTGCAGTGTAATTTAATCAACTTTGAAAAAAAATAAAACCAAAAGTTATAATCTGGACAAATTCAAAAGGAAATCACGTGTCAACGGTCAAGATCATGCGGTAATTTTCCTTTGTTTCCACACGCGCGCACGTAATAATCCGTCCCAAGCACGGCAATTGACAAGTCAGACTCAACTAGTTTTACCCGTGCATTTGCACGAAAAGTAATATAATAAAAAAGAAAGTAATTAAGAATACAGAATAATAAAAATCATGTGGAAAAAATTTAATTTAAAAATCAAATCTAAATATTACTAAACACTTTTTTATATGCAGCAGTCGTGGTTTTCCTATCGTCAGACTCCCCATCACAACAAATCATTATCGTTAAACTTTTTCGACTCGTGACTCTGAAATTTGATTTTTCAAAATTTTATATTTATCTTTATAATATCCCAAAAAATATTTTTTATTTTTATATGACAGCGATAGAAAATAGAGATATTTTTAGTTATTCTTAACTAATTGTGAAATATATATCTATTTTATACATATATAATAAGAATTACCATTTAACAAAAATAGTAGCAAAAAAATACGAAATAATTTAATGCAACCTATAAATATGTACATTGCAAATGGAGCTGGAAGAGTCATTGTTGACAATTCTTCTGGCATAGTGCTAATAATGGACTAAATCAAAATGGCTCAATTAAATTCTAGTGCTTCTTCTATTAGTGAAGTTTCTAGAAAAAAAAAATATATCAAATGACGCAATGCACCTTGGGTCGCTACGGAAACAGTCTCCTTGTATAATTACAAGGGTAAGGTCTGCGTACAACTGACCCCTCAGACCCCAACCTGTCGGGAATATACTGGGTATGTTGTTGTTGTTGTTGTATAAATAGTAAGTATTATTATTTTTTTATTTTTATATTTAAAAAATCATACAACATTTAATGCTGCATTAAATTTTTGGCTTTAATTCATTTTATTATTTAAAAATTCTAGCTAAGATCTATTAAGTGTGCACTTTTTATTTTTAATTTATTTTTCATAGAAACAACAAAAAACATTAAAATCTCAGTCTCTATATTTATAAAATCTCAATTCAAAAGGTAATAAAAATTTTAGAATATCGGTCTTTATATTTATGCCTTTCAAAAAAAATATTGAATATTATTTGTTAAATATCATTTTCCACTAATCATCACAATTTTTTTATTTGAAACGTGTGATAATAAACTTGGTAATGTTTATCACTTCTTTGTTTACCAATCTATTGTTTTTTCTATACTTAGTTTCAAAATGTAAAATAATTATCAAATTATCAGTCTCAATAATTGTGCACTTAAAAAAAATAAATTTAATGATAATATATTATTTGTTAATAGTACACAATTTTGAAAACTCCATTATAAATTGTATGTTGATATCCAAATCATTTTATAAATGCAATCGACTTTGTTAAATCTCCACGAAAATATGGTAAAACAAAATGAGACGATCAACTTTGTATAGAAATATAATAAAATCAATAAATCAATATAAAGTTCACAGGAAATTAACATAATGAATAATTTGTATAGTACACAGATCTAAAAAATAATACTCACGTGGATTCTAGAATTCAAACTTATACTTATCATCATCTTTGGAAATTGAATAATATATTTTCGGCAAGATTTTTTTAAATAATTTTAGACATGTTTTATTTATAAAATAGTTTAGAAAGACTTTAGGTGAATTCACATCTTCAATAATGATATATAAAATTTTAGATACTTTACATATGTTATATAATATTTTAGGTGTTTTTATTATTTTAAACATACATTTTTTATGTTATTTTATACAAAATAATTTTATATTTTTTACAACTGATATACGATAAATTATGTCACATATTAACTCCACATCTTAATTTCAATTATTAGTTAATATTATTTACCATCATATTTAATTTATAATTATTAGTTAATATTATTTACTGTCAGCATTAATTTATAATTATTATTTAATATTATTTACCCGTGCATCGCACGGGCTACACACTAGTTTATATGATACCAAAAATATATACTATCAATATAAAAAGAAAAATATTTTGTATTTCAAGACATGAAAAGACGTTACAGAAATGAGCACAATCCAAAATGGGACCTGTCAAAATAAATTGTGTAACTGAAAGTTACATATTATTATTATTAAATGCGAACATATTTTTATTAAATGAACACTTATTTTTATTAAATGAACTCATATTATTATTAAATGTTGGGTGAATAAAATTTATTGAAGCTTGCCAGAAATTATATATATATATAGATTTCAAGGAGTAAGAAAATTGTCGTACACAAAAAAACTAGCTTCTTTAATCTCGGCTCTGACTTGTTTGTATTTATTGTAATTGTACTTTTCATTCGAGCGGCTAAATGAAATGAATAGTTTATGAGCTCGATTAGTCGGCTCGTTTAGGCTTGTTATACTTTTTATTTGAATTTCTAAACGAGATGGTCGTGAGCTCAGGTCGAATCTATTAGATCCGTTAAGGTTTGAGTTCAAACCATTCACAATTTGTTTAGTTAATGAGTTAAGCTTGTTTAATTAATGAAATGTGCTCGACTCTACTCGTTTAAGTTCGTTAGACTTGAAAAATATTTTTTTTACGTAATTCCGTAGAGGATGCTTGAATACAAATATTTTCAAAAAAAAATCTAATCATTTTTAACCAATCACTTTTTTTTAACTCAAATCTAACTCAACTTTAACTCAACCCTTCAATCCTCAATATTATCAATATAATAAAATAATACAATTCAATTAATCTTACACATTACATCAACTTCAATTCAATATTCATCCGCTCACATAAATTTAATTAGCTATCATCTCACATCATCTCTCTCCTACTTTTACATAAAATCAACTTTAATTATTTTATTTTAAGTATTATTTGAATATAAATTCAAGATCTCACTAACAACTAACCATACCATTTTTTCAAAATTAACCACACTAAACAAAAATCTAATCAAAATCAAAACTATCTTATATCCAAGCATCCTCAACTTTTAGCATAATTAGAGTTGTAATTAGGAATCGTTAACGAGCCGAACTTGAGCTCGTTTATGATATCTTTAACTTAGCTTGCTCAATAAGTGACGCAGCCCAAGCTCGAGTTTGGCATGTCTTTTACTTAGGGAATCTGCATCAATTTTAATTCCTTTGATCACAAATCACTCTCTTTTTCATCCACATAATCATTTTATTCATTTAAACAATTTCCTACATTCATCAATACATTTAAATTACAATATATATATATATATATATATATATATATATATTTTGTGATGAGCCCACCATATTATAATACATAAACACACGAGTCAATCACTTTTTATCTTTCCATAAGAGACATAATATTTAAAATTACTTTGGCCCAACAATTATGTGTGTCACACCATTCAATAGAATGAATGGTTAATGTGGAGCCCAATTGTTTTGTCATCAAATGGATGCCTCACATTGGTGGGTTGAAAATTTTTGACACTTACTAGTACGTAGCCCGTGCGATGCACGGGACATAAATATTAAATGAGTCATTTCCACAGAGCTTGTCTGTTAACTAGCTCGTGTGATTCACAGGAGATATTAAATGAGTGGACAATAGGGCTTGTCAGTTAAGGCCTAAAAAACAATAGAGTTTGATCATCTATTTTTTTACCTCTTTCATCAACGTCATCTTTTTTGCCGAGACATTAAACCTGAGCCTAATAGTGGCAGTGCTAGACCGTAAATTAATTAATATATTATCTCGCTCACATGTTTATAATAATATAAATTTGATTTCATTATATATATTTATTCATTGATATAAGAAAAATAACAATTTTACGTAATCTTGTTCCTCGTATAAAACTCATATTATTTTATTATAAAATTTATTGTAATAGCATATTGACCCGTTTATATTATTATAAATAATATTTTAACATATATATTTATTTTTTAATACAAAATAATAATAATTTTACATATTTTGGTTTATCATAATACTCAATTATTAATCTATCAAAAAATCTATTATCATATAATGTCATTATTATTTATAACACTTGTAGAAGTAATATATTTGTTATATAATGATAAATATGTAATGTATATTAATATTATTTAGTGATGTAATTAATTTAAAAAGATATAAGCAAATTTAATGTTTGGTAGGAATGTGATTATATGTAAGTTGAGATCAAATGAAATGTATCAAAAAAATCTGCTTATGATATTTTCTTTTAAATGTTTGAATGAATTTGAAATTCAAATTACAAATCAACCTCCAGTTATTCAAATAATTTTAAAAAAGTTACCAGTTGTAGTAAAATGCACGTGACAATATATTATAAATATACATGACGTCAGTAATGTTATGAATCTTTAAGTTCCTAAAATATATATTGTTTAGATATGAAACTAATTAACTTATATGTTAAGATAATATATATAAATATATGTATTGTACGAAATATACACATGACAAGTTATTATATTTATTTATATATTGTTTGTATATTGTTTGTATTGTTTATTATATTTGTTTATCATATTTGTATATAAATATATTGTTTATATATTTGTCTGTATTGTACGATAAATTATTATATTTGTTTATATATTGTTTAAATATAATGTTTAGATATGAAACTAATTAACTTATATGTTAAGATAATATATATAAATATATGTATTGTATGAAATCTTTAACGTGTTTGCTAAATTTTTCCCCTAAAAAATTCAAAATACATTTAGGCATGTTTTGTTTGAAGTTGTAAATTCAAATATGCATCTATATAACACATCCCATGATTTATGCTAGCATTAAATGCTACTTGTTTTTTTAATTAACAAAATTAAAAAAACATACCAAAAATGGAATGCAATTAATATTCCCTATTTTTTTGCTTACTATTTTTGAAAAATGTTAATTCTTATTACATATATATAGATATGACGGAAAAATGAGCCGATAGAGATGCTCTTAGAGCATCTACAATGTTTTAGGTCTAGTTTTGCCTATGTGGCATGTAAGTAAACCCAAGTCTTGAACGACATGGATAAAATTATGTAAAATTAACAAAATTCACTCTAATGCAAAGAGACTAGGTCTCTACTTGGGTCTAAAATAGACTTAAGGGTAGATCGGGTCTCTTTTCTAGCTGCCACATCAACAAGACTCAGTCTACTTTTATGTGCATTGGAGAATTTATTTTTTTAGACTAGGTCTATTTATTAGGTGACATATAATTTTGTAGGATTGAACTCAAAGCATTGTGGATGCTCTTACAACTTTACTTTTCATTAAAAACGTTTGAGTATTTTTTATTTTAAAAAAGTAATGAAATAATCAAATTGACCAACAAGTCGTGTAAAAAAAAGTGGAGACACAACAAATCACAAGCATTTTACATAACCTAAAAACTAAACAGATACGTGAGAATTTTAACTTCAAAAGTCCTAAAAACAACAATGCAGCATTACAAAGTCCTAAAACACCAAAAGGGACTAAAGTCTAAGCCTAATACTTAAACTATGTTTGGTGAACCTAGGTGTTAAGCTAGTTTATAGTTGATAAGCTAGTTTATAACTTTTAAGTGAATTTCGAACTTATAGTTGATAGCTTATGACTAGAAAGCTAACTTATATTATAAAAATTTCAGTAGTCAGCGTTCGACACATGGTGCAAAAAGCGAACAACATTAGACCTCAATGGTTGGCCAATAATAAGCCATTCAACTCGACATTTTCACATAAGCAATCAATTTGGCATTAAACAAGGTTTCGTGTAAAACACTCGGTTTCCATACCCAAGGTGCTGGCCTACATCCCGCGAAGGCCAATCGATGACAACACATTAAATGCTGGCAGAACGCATGTCAATCATACTGTCGAAAGTGATCATTAGGAGTGAGTCCCTGCAGAGCCACATGTCACCATCAAATCACATTTAATGTTGATGTACTAACATCGTGAACAATACACGTGGGTTTTGCACCATAAATATCCCTCATTTATTATTTTAGAAGACACGAATCTTCTCTTACTAAAATTAATCCTGAGCATAATCAATATATAAAAAAGGCGACCCATCATCATTACAATATACAAAATTCTATTTATATTTACGGAGATTATCTCACTCGTTGACTAAAATTTCACACGTCAACAACATATATATAAAAAAATTTTAAAAAAATAATATTTATTATATATATACCAGTCGATTCGATATTTCGATTATTTAAAACAATAAAATTGACGTTGGACCGCATAACTGAAATCATAAAAGCAAAAACTGATATCCACCAACATATAAAAAACCAAAACAAATAAATTTATTGCGGTTTGTTTCGGTCGTTCTTNGTCACTCTTATATGCATTACAAAATACACAACTGTGACAAATTAAATGCACATTAATACATGTGAAAATACAAAATAATGTACGCTGCAGCGTTAGTGGAATATATGCTAATGTGCATTCCCACACGCATTAATGTGCACTCCATCTAACAGTATTGTGCATTTTGCAGTATCGTATTTTAATATCCATCTCCATACTAATTAATGTGCATTTTATTTATCATAATTGTGGATTTACTAATTTTTTAATGAATTACATATTTTTCCTTGTGACTAAATTGCAATATAATTAAAATTCTTAACAATGCATATAAGTCCTTCAGACTTATCTAATTTACAAAAGTTTTCCCTAACCCTAGTTTTCGAATTCAATTTTAGTTCCCATCTATAATTTCTTAAATTGGTGTTGATTGTTACCATTTTCAGGCCTTGGCGGATGTCGCAGATGTCGGTACGGACGGAGATGGCGATGGCGATGGGGAGGGCGGAGATGGTAGCGACGGCGGAGGGTTGGACAGATGATGAGGAAGACGATGGTAGCAGTGGCGGATGGTGGGACGGGAGTGTGCAACAGCGGATTTGAACAGGACGAGTGACGAGGAAGGCGATGGTAACAACGACGAAGGGTGGGGACGTGGCCGGTGAGGATGAGCAGAAGGAGGCGGACGACGTTGGTGGTGACACCCTACCACCAGAATATCGCGAGGTCGACGAGGCTGTCGGTGAGATAATAGAGGAGATACCGCTGAATGGTTGTGGGCAGATGTGCAACGATGCCCGACAAAAGAAGCCGTCGGAGTTGGGGAGGTGGGGACGACCTGCTTGTGTTTTCTCTATGTGTGTTCACCAGAGGTTGCCGTTTGCCGGTGTCGAGTGGTGTGCACCGGTCTCTTGTTGCTATTGGACGAGGTCAGTTCATCGAAGACGAGCGCCGGCAGCTAGAAGAAGGCAATTGACGAGTTGATTTCTTATGGGAGAGAGAAAGAGGTGGTGAGGGGGTGGAGGGTTAGTTGGAGGGTCCATTGATATAATTTGGTTTGGTTGGGAGGGGTGTGTAAAATGTCCAAAATCTATATATATCTAAAAAGGTTGATGTAAAAATCCTTTTTTAGAAACCTAAAAATAATTGAGTTGACTTTTGACTTTCTATTTATGTATTCTACTTTAAAATCGGAAGAAAAATCGTGAAAAGGCAGTGGATATTTCGTTAATTTAGCATGAAATTTGCGTTAATTAAGCAAATGGATATTCTCCATTCATTAATTTAGCATGAAATTTGCGTTAATTAAGCAAATGGATATTCTCCTTAATAATGGTGATATTTCCGTTAATTAAGCATGTGAAATTGATTGTCCGTTGCAAAAATCATGAGACTTACTATCTATCCAAATACAATCCATAATTATCTTATCACTTTTGGTTAATAAAAAATTGTATCAAAGGATATTCACTACCACCATTACAACTCATCATTCACGAGTTGAGAGAAAAAAAAATACAGAGAATAATTTTTCATCGCATATACAATGCTTCCAGGCTGGGGTACACTTGATTCCGTTAACAAAAGAAACAAACTTTTTTTTTGCATCTGAGAGCACCCCGCATTATTGAAACCCATCACGAACGGGAGAGCTGTAACGCATTCCATATACTGTTTCATGATGAACAACATTATTGATACCCATCACGAACGGGAGAGCTGTAACGCATTCCATATACTGTTTCATGATGAACAGGTAATATTTACCTTTGTTATTTCAATTTTATATAATTTAGAAAAATATTTTAATTAATATTTATAAGCTGTAACGCATTCCATATACTGTTTCATGATGAACAACATTATTGAAACCCATCACGAACGGGATAGCTGTAACGCATTCCATATACTGTTTCATGATGAACAGGTAATATTTACCTTTGTTATTTCAATTTTATATAATTTAGAAAATTATTTTAATTAATATTTATAAATTTGTATCGTAGGGTGCTTTCATTAAATGCATAATACGTTATCCGAATTTGAGAGCAACAAACTTTATATAAACTGAGAGTAATCTAATTTTTGTAAAATATGTAAACTTTAAACGTGTTTTTATATATAAAATTGTATATACTTTTAAACATGTTAGTTGGGCAAATTTTAAGGATATATATATATATGTGTGTGTATACTAACTGTAAGTATATATATTTTTCTTATAAAATAGTCTAGACAGGTAATTTTACATTTTTCGATAATAATATAAAATATTTTAATACTTTCACATATGTTATATAATAGTCTACGTATTCTTAATGTCTTTTGGTTGTAACATTGTTAACACATATAATATTAGATACTTTTAAACATATTTAGATAATTTTTTTACTCATTCTTTAATATCTATGTGCATAAAAAGAGAATAAGATTTATAAAAGATTTTCCGGCAATATACTAAATGTTAGATAAAAAATCTCATATTATTTGTTATATAATATTTCGAGTTGCATTAATTTTGATTTGTAAGTGTAAACTTGATAAATTAAGCGTATGAGAAGGAGCGTACGAATTACTGTAAGGATTTAAAAAATAAAAAATAAATCTAATTTTTTAATATTTTCTACTAACTTCTAAACGAATTTATGTCATAATTCGTCATAATTTTTCCACATCATGTCAATATTAATTTTATATATACTAGGTAAAAGGTAAATCATTATCTCAATTCTTATTCTATATATTCTAAGTAAATCTTCTCATCTATCTCAACGGTCCGCAGGTAGTATTTCATACTTTTCTATTCATAATCAAATATATCAAAGCTTCACAAATTTTACTTCACAAAGAAAGTGTTCAATAATTTATATTTTTTTTCTTCTTTGCAATCCATTTATTTTTGTTACATATATATAAATTATATTATTTTTAATATTTCACACATTAAACATTTCAGGAAAATATATCATCCCGTGCATCGCACGGGCTACGCGCTAGTACCTCTAATAAGGCCGTTGGATTATCATTTTTTTTTCACTATACTCTTATTTCTTTCGCTAAACATTATGACAAAAAATATGTTATCTAATTATTATGTCTAAATATCATTTTTTAATATCATATTTTGATCATATTTAATAATATATTTATTATTTATCATTTATTGATCATATTTTTTTTTATGGTTTATTATGCAATAAACATTAGTTAGAGACAATATTTCTCATTTTGGTTTATGTTTAATAAACCCTGTATTTATACATGACCAGTTTTGTGTCGCTGTTTCATGAGTTACAAATAAAAAAAATAAAAAGTATTAATTTGTGATAATGAAAACAGCTCAAAAACCAAAAATATCGCGTTATAGATTTGTATGAATTGCAAATTTGCAATTTTCATTTAATGGTTTCTTTATTGGGTAGCTCTAGTGTACTTGCACGGTTTATGTATTATTTTTAAAATTAAAAATAACAATGGGAATTGTTTACTCATTTTTTTAATCATATACGGACGGATATACCTATCAAGTTCTCCTTAAAATCACACAAAATTTCCTCTCTGAAGTTTGTTTTCCAGTCGAGAAATTGAAAAAGGAAATCCAGGTTTTTGGAGGCAAAAACCCTTCTGCTTTGCCGTCAATCTTCGCCGCCCAATCGCAGACGACCTCCGGCATCCAGCGCCGCCATGGCGGAGAACTGACCCTCGGTATTTGTTCTTCACCATTTTTTAGCTCAACACTGAGGTTTTCTTTCGTTTCATTTCTAGCACTTTCTCCTAGTTCATTCGCACACTTTCACTAATCACCAGCTTAAACATTTCTCAATTATCCTAAACATGATTTGAAATTGGTCTTTCAGCTAAAGTTTTTCTCCGTCCAAGTCATATCTGACAAGTGCCTCTTGGTTGTTTTTTCAGCATCAACAGCTCGTTTGGTGCTTGGTCGAGACCTTGTTTGTTAAGGTTGAAAGAGTTTGCAGATTTTCATGGCTTGTTATCATATATCTCACCAAAAAGTTCAAGCCTGTTGGAGGACATTGTATTCAAGCTGGAAACCAAATGGTTTAGTCAGTAAGAGATTTTTCTGTACGTCGAGTAGTTTTGGATGTCTGACGAGGAAATACTTTTCATCCATCCCCTGTAAAAGGGTATATATCTATCACTACTGTCTACCGTTAAATGCTCTTCTTGTAGCCTTTTCTTTTCTATATATTCTGATTGTCTAGTTCTCTCTTTTTTTTGTTTGTTCTTTTTGTCAGAATTTTCGTGGAGGGCGTCATAGCTTGATTTCTGGAGTTTGTGGTGTCGTGCGCCCTTTCTCTTCTACTGCTATCAGTACATCTGCTCAAAGTGCACAAGCAATTGACGAGAGCACGATATCGAATTCTGCTACAAGTGATGATGTGCAGACAACCATTACTCCGTCAAATGGCAGAGTAATGCTTATAGATGGCACTTCAATCATATATAGAGCATATTACAAACTTCTTGGTATGTATATGGATCAGCTTTGTTCCTTTTAATTACACTGATCTTGGCAAATGATGATGTAACTGGACTGCAGACCATTTTTTTTTTAACATATAAACTTCAGCAGAAGCTGATACTTTACTGGTTATTGTTAGCAAAATTGCACCATGGTCATCTTTCACATGCTGATGGAAATGGAGATTGGGTCCTCACTATTTTCAGTGCATTGTCTCTGGTAAGTTTTAATTTCTATATTTGTGATGACTTTTATTTGGATCATTCTGAGCTTCGCACCACTGTTCCCTTTTAAGAGAATAAGTTTATTGCCAATTAGAATTGGACTCAAACTATTCTCTGATGTTTTTTTCCCTTTTATTGCTTTCTTTAGAAGAGTGTTACTGGAAAAGTATGACACGGTGACTTTAGCTGTTTCTTTTAGTAGCTTGTTTAGTCTTGTATATATGAATGTACATACATCTGAACTATTTTGTCTGTTTGTATGTATTTTTGTTGGTTGGATATCCAAAGGAAAATAGTGAATCATTGCTGCTCATATTACAGTGTTGTTATTTTCACTATCTATGTGTGTATGGTAAAAGATGTTCCACAATTCTATAGTGCCTTCATCTTCCTCTGCTGAGCAAAACTAGTGTAGGTACTATTGTACTGTTTTTCTTCTGGGGGGTCAAATACTGATGTGTTTACTTGGTGCTGCAAAAAGTTGTTGGGTTGGCAGAATGGACCAATGGAACACCAACTTAAAATGAAGGAATATTAGTAAATAACACGAAATTACAGAGGCTGTAGTTCCTAAATCTGCCACACAGCAGTTGCTACTTAATCCTATTACTCATAAATGCTAGAACTAAGTCATCAGCTCACTAGAAAAGATTCTTCAATTGATGGGTGACTGCAGGTATCAACAAAGCTGTATCATCTTTTATTCTGATCCAAACAAATTAGAACTTCTGCGTTTGACAAAATGGATTAGTTTTACAATGAACTGCTGACCAATCTAGATGACACAAATTTGGGTTTGTTGTATTGTCCAACAATGTGTTTTGTTGTGGCTAATGCCTAATGATCAGATATGTGATGGTCTTCTGTGTTTCTCCCCTCTTTTATTTTTTAGACTGATACAAATCAATTGTTTTAAAATTGCTTCACTTGATTTCTGCAGATAATTGATGTCTTGGAATTTCTCCCTTCACATGTAGCGGTATGCCACCTCCTATCATGTAGCTTATCCTCGTCGTAGCAGTGTTTGTTTTTGGCTTTTCAGTTGTTTCCTTAGATCCACAATATAATGACAAAAACACTAGTAATGGGATCAAATACTTGTCCGTAACTCCCCCGTCCCCTTGAATTAGGAGAAAACACAACATTTGCTTGACCTCATAGACTCATAGACCGTATAGTTTGATTGGGTTTTGCATGATAAATGAACCTTTATAACCAAATTTACTTCTACAGAGGGGCTTATGCTGACATTGCGAAAACTAAAAAGAAAAAGCAAAGGCCAGTACTGTTGCAAGAAAGACAAGATACTTATTATTCACTTTCAGTTGCAAACAGATAAATGCATGAAATTTAGGCTAGCACAATCAAGGGCAACGTAAGGTATAAGATAATGTCATAGACTTTGGAAAGGGTTGTAAGTTTCGAGAGATCATAGTGTTGAAAAGAGGTTCGAGAAAGGAAACTAGAACAAACTTCGCGGAGGATTTAAAACAATGATTGGAGTTGAACTCATAGGTTAAGAACTGAGGAGCACACAAATCTTAGAATGCTCCTTTTTTCATAATATTACGTCTCTAAAAATTCAATTGAATCAGTAGTGTTCCTGGACAGCATATTTAGGATAGCATGTTGAAGGATAATGGTTGTATAGCTATACTGCTTGAGTCTTGTAGTCATTCACGCAACAGTGTTACCGTTGCCTTCTTACTACTATTTCTATCTTCATGTGAAATATACACATCATTTATTTTACTTATTTGATTCATGTGTCATTTGATTTATCCTCTTTTCTTTTGTGCCTTTTACATACTTACCTGCAGCTGTAGCCGTATTAGTTCTAACAGAAGTTGTTTTACTTGTGTTCTGGTTTTCATCCCTTTCCTGTACAGGTGGTTTTTGACCATGATGGTAAGATTTACTTTTTGCTTATATTTGTTGTCTTTGCTTGATTTCTTATTTAATTCTTAATTCTTACTTGCTTTTATTTTCTTTAATTGTTACAAGCTTCTTGTGTCCCTTCTTATGTCCAACGCTTGGTTTTCTTAGTTGAAGAGCTTGACTGCACGCACATATGGCATATAGATTGTTTTTTTGTCCATATATTGAAGGATAGTGGTTGAATTTTATTTTATTCAGATCTAATTATTAGAGGAATAGTAACCTCATGCTTTAACATGGATCCATACATATATGATCAATATTGTTTTCCATATTAGTTATGTGTAAAGAGGTTGAAGTTAATTTAATATGTTTCTTGTCTCGTAACCATTATCATATTACATTCCAATAGAGAACCTTGCTCACTTTGTTTGAATTGATCTAATGTACTAGCCAATAGAATGAAACCTTTTT